GAATTTGAACAACTCCACCATCAGCCGGCTGCCCTGCCAGCGGAGAGAGGGATTTCGTCGCGTAGGGGTTTGGTGTCGAGCGTGAGCAACCAAGGAAAGTGCAGTATCGTTGGCTGAACAGAAGTGACTGGCTAAGCAAAATCAGTTGGAAAAGGGCTTTCAGGGCACATCATGGTGTAATTGTCATCAGGATCCCGTATGTTTCTTTCTCTTGCAAGCAGCATAGCTGCTTCTGGAGAGAGGTACGGGGGGTTTAGGGTTTATCCCTGTGCCTTCACCAACGAAATGGATTACCCCGCGGGACGTCTGGAACAGTAAAGATCCTCCGTAAATCAAGAACTGGTCAACCCAGAGTGATTTAGGGCTTAGGGTTTAAGGTTTTTCGATCGAGATCAGAACTCCCAAGGGAATGCACCCCCCTGCACACTCACCGAGATGGTGGTCGACCACCCGCTCTGCGCATCAATTCCAAAATCAATATAGTAACGCCTCACTGCCGACCAAAACGCCACAACACCCCAAAACTTAAGCCTGCCGGTTTTGCGATGCCAGACACCAAACAAACTCTGAACCGGTTCAGCCATAAATAAGCATGCCTTCAAGCTCCGTCTCCAATATTGCTAACCTCTCCCTTGAAACCGGGTGTGAGATTTGGAGTTTAGGGTTTCCCCGTCCGTGGAGTTGAGGGTTTAGGGCTTAATGCAAAGAGGGTTCAGGGTTTGGGTTTGTTTATAACCGGGCGGACCTTGCGTGATCATCAGCTCCGCATGGCGCTCGGCATGACCCCAAATGGCATCATGGACGCTCTCTTCCATCTCCTCGGCACCTGAAAGGACCTGCGTCTGGCAGGGCTCATGAAAAGGATTCTTATAAGGGCCTCCGTGTCCGGGTGCAAGGCTTCACGGCTTTTCCCTAATATTAGGAGCCTCAATGATTAGAATAGGGTTTCGGGGTATGTTGTACTATAATTATAAGAAGGATCGCCCAAAACCCTCTTCTAATTATAAAGGCCCCCTATATTGTGTTCCGAGCTCTCGCTTAGCTTCAGGGCAGGCCGTGCTCTGTTCTCTGCTGGTTTCGGGCCTGCTGCCGCCGACTTTTGAGCAGTGGGGAGCTCATGAGATCAAGTTCCAGGCTACCCAAACCTGCCCAAAATCCCTCACTCACCTTCCCTACACCCTCAAGCTCCATGCTACCCCAAAGTCTTATACACCCGACTGCAGGGAATACATACCTTGAGGGCCCGAATTCTACCTAGGAAGGCCCTTTTAATCGACCTACAGGCTTCCATGATGGAAGGGCCCGGTCCCCCTGAAGCCTAATCCCTAGACCCTAATCCCTACCCTACACCCTAAACCCGAATCCTTAAACCCTAAACCCTAATTCCTACAGCCCCCTAAACCCGAATCCTTAAACCCTAAACGCCCTAAACCCTACGCCTGTCCTTGTTCCACAGGTTGTGGAGCCCATGTGCAACCGCCTGTCAGGCGTCACCACGAATCGAGCACCCAACGTACAGGTTCAGAGGCTTTTGGGTGAATGCAGTTAGAGGCTTTGGGGGTTGAGGGCTTTAGGGTTTTAGAACTTCAGGGTTTATGCTTCATGTATAGGGGCCTTAGGAAAAAAGACCAAGCCCCTGTTTTGCGGGCTTAGGGGTTAGGGGTTTATAGGGTTTAGGGGTTGGGTACTGCCCCCATACAGGAGCAGTCCGCAATAGGGCTACCATTAAGGGCTAACCATCTTATGAATTTTACTCAACTGTCACTGAGTGGGGGCAGTATCCAAGGTAGGGGCCTTAATAATTAGAAGAGGGTTTTGGGCTATAATACATATTATTGTTATAACACGGATCCCCAAAGTGCTGTTGGTCATTATACAGGCTTCTATAGTAACATAGGGACCATAGTAACTGTGATGGGGTTGACGAGTCCGTTGTAATGCATTCAGGAAGTCCAAGGATCAATTTTTATTCTGATTATTCAAGCTTCTGTATTACAATGGAAGATGTTAGGTCCGGGGTTTTACCATGGCAGATGTTAGGTCCGGGGTGGAATCTGGAAGCTTCTGGGATTTGGGGGGTTAGGGTTTAGGCTTTAGGCTTTAGGTGCGAAAGCCATGCTATTCCGGTATCAGGCTAGCTATGTCATTTACTTGCAAGGATCTGTCGGCGTCGTTTTACTGCTGGGGAGTTTCCGAACACAAGGGGGAGCCCCTTAACAAAAGTCATAAAGCCCTAGGTCCTAGATAGGCTTGAAGGTTCGGCCCTAGGTAGTAGGATCTCTGAGCGCAAGGACCCGAAAAAAGAGGTACGACTGCATGCAAGAACCCCCCAATTTCAATTATGAGATTCAGGACATTGGATCACTTCATTCGGGGTCAGGTGCCTACCCATAGGCCCCTAAGTAGTTCCTACAGGCCCCTAAGTAGTTCCTTTTTGGGATTACCTTTATAGGATTCTAAACATAAACCATAAAAAGGAACTACTTAGGAGCCTATGCACAGAGTCGACTCCGTACCCCTGGCGACACTGAAAATACGCAGGCTTGAACCGTCACTCAAAACAACCCACTGAAAGCTATAAACCTCAAACCCGGCAAGCCCTTAACCCTCAACCGCCTAAACCCTAAATCCCCTATACCCTAAACCCTAACCTAAATACCCTGAACCCTACACCCAAAATACCCTAAACCCTAAATACCCTAAACCCAAAACCCTAAATTCCCTAAATTCCCTAAACCCCCTAAACCCTAAACCCGCCAGCCCTGGAAACCGGAAGCCTTCTGCCTGCCTGAACAAGTATGCAGCGGAAACCTGAGAGTCAAGTCTCTCAACGAAAAAGCTGCCGGTTTAGGGTTTAGGGGTTTAGGGTTTAGGGTTTAGGGTTTGCATAGGTGTATACATATACATGTATCTAGATGTAACAAAGACACACATACACCTACAACCCTACCCTAAACCCTAAACCCTAAATGCACCCCTACACCTCCTTTTACGACCATCATTGCATAAACCCTACACTCCTAAACCCTAAACCCTAAACCCGTGCACTTATCCCCCCTTTGCCCCGGGCCTGCTCTTCATCCACCACAAAGGCGGCGATTCCAGCGAGGCTGGTGACCCAATGGGGCACATTTTCGACTTGCAAGGCCTGTCATCGACCCGACACGCTTCGATAACCCCATTTTTAAGGGATCCTGAGTGCTTATTTAAAAGGAAACTGCAGGTGGGGAGTTTAGGGTATTTAGGGCTTCTATAAGGCTTCTATAAGGTACATAGACCTTCTATAGGGCTCCTATAACGGTAACTACCCACCTGACAATGTCCTAGACTTATATGGGGAAACTTTCCCAAATCATAGCTGTGATTCCTAATCTTTCACTATGTAGGTACTGAAGACCCTTTGGGGATTAGGTTGCACACAAACATGAAATGGTAGAGAGGGTTCAGGGTTTAGGGGTTAGTGTTTCGGGCTAAGGTCCTGTGGGTTAGGGCCTAGGGCATAAGGAAACGCTACAGCCCGTCTAGAGGACTTGATAATCAGGATTGTTTACAGGTCATGACTGATGCTATTGTTACTGCGTCTATTGCTCTGTGTTATTGCTCCGGACCGGGTCGCGAGTATAAATTCAAGTGAAACACTCAGCAGACGAATGCATCATATCGAATTCTGGGTAAACCCTAAACCCTAAACCGTTTCGGACTGACTGATGAATCATGTCTAATTCGAGGCCCTGGACCTTCTTTGCCCTACTTCCCTTTCTTAGCCCCTAAACCCTGAACCCCTAAACACTAAACGTAGCATGATCATACGGTGGATGATAGAAATCCTGCATTACCCATAATAAGGAAGATACCCATACTTCCCATAGTTTAGGATCCTTAAGGTACTGCAGGATCTATATCATCACACCCCTTACTGAAGGAATATACCGTAAATCTTCTTAGGTTAAGGGTTTAGGGGTTTAGGGGGGTTCCTCTTATAAGATGTTGTATACTCCGTAATTCTCTTAGTAGGGTTCCTACTATAATATGATGTATATTCCTTAATTTATCTTATTGGGGTTCCTACCACAAAATAAGGTTATAACACAAGGTAGATTCCTTAACTATCTTAGTTAGTAGGGTTCCTGCTAAAATCTCAGGTAAAATCCTTAACTAAGGAGTTTGGGAGTCGTTGGATCCAAGACGAGGGTGCCTGGCACAGTGCCACGGCAAAGTGGCAGCAGTTCTTGTGAAGAAGGTCGTAGTCTTCACCTTGGAACCTCGAGTTCAGGGTTTAGGGTTTAGGGTTTGAGGCTTAGGGTTTAGAGTTTGGGTTAAGGGAGGGTGGTGTTAAGGGCTTTCGGGTTTAGGGTTTAGGTGTTGGGCTCTACGTTTTGGTGGCGGAAGCGAAAAGAGAATTGCCAGGGGGTTCAAGACTTGAATAGGCATCCCTAAACCCTAAACCCTAGACCCTGAACCCTAAAGCATGCGGGCTTGACATGGCTGACCTGAACCTGTGCGGCATGGACTTGCTCGGTGCAGAGTTCAGGGTTCAGGGTTTAAGGGTAGAGGCTCACCTGTCAGCCACCACAAGGTTTGAAGGACCACAAGAGCCTTAGAAGTAAGGGCTCTGTACCCTTCTACTATGAACCCCTATAAATATGGTGTGTGAACCTTAAGACTTAGGGTTCATTTCGTCTTTAAGGAAGCCTAAACCCCGAAGGCTTTGATACATTCTCGAATCGAAAGCTTGAGCTTTCTCGCCTTGGGGCATTGATTGCGAACTGCAGGTGCTTCAGCTACTATAGAGGGCGTACCAATTAGAACATAGGTTTTGGGGAAACTTCCACTACGACTATAATAAGGAACCCTAAAATAATACTGCTAACTACTTAAGCCCTAATATTGGTCCACGACTGTGCGACCATCCAATGCCAACAGCATGGAATCTAATATAGGGGCCTAAATAACTACCAGAACTACTTTGGCGGCTCCTTATTATCATGAAAGAACAACCTTCCCCGAAATCAATTATTAAGGCCCCTAAACCCTAAACCCGATTCGAATTATTAAGGCCCCTAATAAGCCTAAACCCTAAACCCTAAACCCCAATCTAATAATCTGAGCATTAAGGCCCCTATGTTGCACCCAAAGCCTATCACACTCAGGGCAAAAACCTCTGCAAGGCTAAGGGCTTCGGGCTCATGGGGTTGAGGGTTGAGGGGCTTAGGGTTTCGGGGCTTTTGGTTTAGGGATTGAGGGTTTCGGGGTTTAGGGTTTTTGGGATTGAGGGTTTCGGGGCTTAGGGTTTAGGGGTTGAGGGTTTAGGGGTTTAGGGTTTAGGGCTTCAGGGACGGGTTTAGGGTTTATAGGGACTGAGCGTTTAGGGTTTAGAGCTTCCGGACCCGCAACTCTAAGTCTATAGGCACATACCCAGACCTTCCAATGGGTGCCCGGAGAAACGGGAACCGCTTTGGGGAGTAACAAAAACGACCGTAACGGAAACCGGCGCTAGTAGAAACAAGACCCGCGCCCCGAGCGTAACAGAAACTACTATCCCTGGAAAGCCAGGCAGCGTAAACTATGTTGCAACTCTTCTGTGGGGGACCAGTTTTCGGTCCCCTGCCTTTGCGACCGATTAAAGCCTTATGCTCACGCCTATGTTTCTTTGATCGAGGCATATAGAGTCTCGGGTTCAATAAGATTCACGGTTTGGGATAAATAAGGTCTCAAAATAGGATGGCAGTGGCAATACAGAGGGTTTTTGCCTGTCGAAAAATGGTTCAGCATTGAAGCCTTACTGCTAAAGTTCATATCTCCAAAGCAACCCTCGTCTTGAATTTCTGATGGCTAAAGCTGAACAATGTCGGAAAGGCATGCTGGAATCGTAAGTTTGAATCTCTCTGAGTAAGTTGGGGACCGGAAACTGGTACCTGAGTTGGGGAGCCTAGAAGAGATGCTGGATGTGAAAGTAAGTCTTGGAGCCCTTCCCCCAGTTCCTGTTACGAGGGCCTGCCTGTGGGCTGTTGCGGGAACCGGCCAGTTGCTGTTACGGGTTCCCGTTACAGACAGCCTGTTCCCGTTACGGAATACACTCCTTCCCAAATCCCTTAATTAAGGAATGTACCGTACAGTGTAGTAGGATCCCCAATATGATTTAAGGCATTCTTCCTGAATTAAGGGATATTGGAAGGTGTAGGTAATGCTTTTACAGGCCACTAAACACTAACTAAATCCTAAACCCTAAACCCTAAACCCTAAATATCCCTAAACCCTAAACCCTAAATATCCCTAAACCCTAAACCCCAAATATCCCTAAACCCTAAACCCTAAGCCCTAAAGCCCAAGTATTCTCTAAAACGCTCTGCTGAGGAGCTGATCCTCAAGCTTGACAATGGCCTCCTTGAGCTCCTCGTGGCACATTTTGCCCGGGCTTCCCTAAACCCTAGGTGTTTTTTTTTGTTGCTCCGTTTTTTCCGTAAACCCTAAACCCTAGGTTTTTTGTTTTTGAGCTCCGGTTTTCCGTAAACCCTTTAAGCCCTAAACCCTAAACCCTAGGTTTAGGGCTTAGGCTTCAGGGACTTCGGGGTTTCGGGCGTAGGGTTCGGGGTTTAGGGACTTCGGGGTTTCGGGCTTAAGGTTCAAGGACTTCGGGTTCAGGGACTTCGGAGTTTAGGGCTTAGGGTTCAGGGACTTCGGGGTTTACGGCTTAGGGGTTAGGGCTTTAGGCCTTGCTAGAAGCCAAAAAGTTGGAACATCTTGCCCTATAATATAGGTAAAGTATAGGCGATGCCCAGCACTAATCTCCAAAATCCCTTACTATGGTTATATACCTTACATTGCAGCAGGATCCCCAGTATGACTCTCGGTCTTGGTTGGTGCTGGGATTCCTATGCTTTACCTCAAGGGCATGAGGATAATGATCTTCCAACTTTCTGGCTTCCACTCTGTCCTAAACCCTAAACCCAAAACCTTAAACCTGTACTCTAGAACATGAGAGTTGCAGTGTTCAGGGTCTCAGGGATTTCGGATAGTTGGACGTCAGGTCATAGAGTTTCGAGGCTTTTGTCTAGGGTTCAGGGGTTTAGGGATTTAGGGCTCTAGACTTAACCTTGAACTCTACAGGACCAAAACCCATGGCACGATGTTTGATGCCACCAGATTGCATGAGGGTTTCGGGTAGCAGGGTAACGGTGGAAGATTAACTCGGGACCCTGAACCGGAACAAGAGGAGCAACCTAATGGGGCTTCCAGCGCGCACCTACCCGGCAGGAAAAAAGACACACCTTGGGGAGTCGGCTGTTATGCTGCTGAAATACTTCCTCGCACAGGCCCTGACAATAGGATAGCGGCAGCTAGCTGCCAGCTACACAGTAGGATGAAGCAAGCCCCACTCTCCCCCCTAGAGATCATAGAAGGTGCGCCTCCCCCTGGAGGGGGGTGGTCCCTAGCTTGATCGACTGGCGGAACTTGAACGGATAGCCCTTCGGCTCACCTGGGGAAGGTACCTAATGAGGGCTTAAAGGGTTTAGGGTAAAGCATTCGGGATTGAGGGATTAGGGCTCCGGGTCTAGGCAACGTAAGCCACGACATACCCAGCAAGTGCTCTGAGCTATACCTAAACCCTAAGCCCTAAACCCCTAAACCCTAAACCCTAAAATCTGTCGACATCATGCTGAACACTAAACCGAAGATCCTACAAGCCCTCCAACCCAAAGCTCCTAACTGACTGCAAGGTTTAGGGTTCAGAGATAAGGGCTTGGGGTTTAGGGTTTGGGGTTTAGGGTTTGGGGTTAAGTTTGGGGTTTAAGGCCATGGTCTGGTGTCTCGAGCTTGAGGGTCGGGTTGTCGAAAGGATAATGACGATCTGCGGCTCGGTCTCGTTGTTTTTGTCCAAACATGCGCTGCCCAGAATCCATGAGACCAGACAGCCCGGAACCAGTTTTCTTGTTTCTCTGTCGTGCTGCCCATAGCACTCTTGAGATGTTGACTCCAGAGGGCGGAAGGTCGTTCGTTTCGGGTCATATCGGAGGCCCTCTTGTTCGAGACTGTTGCTAGCTTGTAGGCCCTAAGCCCCAAAACCTAAACCCTAAACCGTTTCACAGGCAGGCAGACACAGAGACACACGCACCAAGTCTTAGGTAGGTATCTGAAGTCTGAAGACATAGGTTGGGGTTAAGGCCTGATACATCCTCAACCCCTAAACCCTGCAACCCTTTCTCTAGACCCTGCCTCAAAAGGCTTGGGGTCTAGGGTGTTTAGGGTTTAGGGCTTTAGGGTTTAGGGTTTAGGGCTTCAGGGCTTCAGGGTTTTAGGGTTTAGGGCTTTAGGGTTCTTAAGGGTTTTAGGGTTTAGGGTTGTAGGGTTGGCACTTGGAACTTGAGACTTCTGTGGGCAGGGGCACTGGCGCGAGCACACCCTCGGCCCCGAAATCTGCAACCATAGTTTTGATGATAGAAATCCTTAGGACCTTAAGGACCCTAAAGGATGGGAATTATGGTATATTCCTTATTACCAGTAATGCAGGGTTTATATCATCAACCGTAGTTTAATGTGTCGCATGGGGTTTAGGAGCTTATAGCGTTTAGGCTTTAGGGCTTTAATAGGTAGAGGGCTTCTAAGTTACGGCTTGCATCCGACATGGCTCAATGATGCTGCGTTGAAGGTTAGGCCCACTCGCTCCGCCTAGAGGCGACGTCAACTCTATGTGCACCTCCAGCAGGGATGCTAGGAGCTGCTTGACAACGCAATCTTCCTCGATACAACCTCCCAGCCCTACACCCAAACATGAGGGCAGTTCTCTCAATTAGGGTCCCTTATTGAATTTGGGTCCCCTATATAATATGGCACCCTTATAAAACGGACCCCAAAAGAGACCCTCATTTAGACAACTTCCCATGAACATCCACTTTTCTCACCAAAGCCACTCGCTCCAACCAAAGCCCAAGCCGAAAACCCTGAGAAGACCCTGGAGCCCGAAGCAAAGCCCGAAACTCGAAACCCTAAAACCCTAAAACCCTAAACCCTAAACCCTAAAATCTAAAGCCTAAAACCTAAAACCCCAACACCCTAACAAACTTTAGACCCTAAAACCCTAAACCCTAAAATCTAAAACCTAAAGCCCTAAAACCCTAAACCCTAAAACCCTTAAAAACCCTAAGCCCTGACACCCTAGAACCCCAGAGTCTCTAGAGCCCTAGAACCCCGAAGCCCCGAAACCCTAGAACTCTTAAGCCCTAAAGCCCCTGACACGCCTAAGTTGGGTCGCGCTCCGCTAATACAGGGGCCTTAATGATGAGAATAGAGTTTTGGGGTATATTATACCATAATGTAATAAGGAACATCCAAAACAGTAGTGGCAATCATTACCCTATGCTTCCAAGGACCTTATAGTTAGGGCCCTAGACCCCTTAAGGACCCAATAATTAGGTCCCTGGAAGCCTAGGGTTAAGGCTTCGACTTAAACCCCTAAGCCTCCCCTACACCCTAAATCCTAAACCCTAAACCTCCCCTACATTAGGCGGACACGGTGCAGTGGAACACACCGGAGCCCTTCGGTGTGTAGCCGTAGGCCCACTCCACCTGTTTTCTTTTGCGTGGCACGGTTTAGGATTTACGTTTTTGGGGGTTTAGGGTTCAGGCGGCACTATACCTATAGTCTCCATTGTACTTCCTTTTTTTGGGGGGTTACCTTAAAATATCACTGGTTTAACCAAAATTTGGAACTACAACTACAACTATAGGTAGACACTAGTAGAGTGCCCTGAAAGCTGCAATCAGACTGTGTACTTGTACCAAGCAACACCAAGAACTACGGAACAGCACTTTGGGTTGCAATAGACCAGGGCATTGAAAGCTTATAGAGTACAATAGTATACATATATTAAAGTGAAGAAACCCCAAAGGAATGAGTTTTGGTATTTTATTGAGGCTTCTATCTTACAGGGCTTGGGCTTTGGGTTCCCCCAATCCCTCACAGCTCCCTGAAACTCAGCCAGCTCCAAACAGGCTTACTGTGCAGTCTTTCAAGATTCGACGGACTTCCACAGCCATGCCATCTAGGGGCCTAGACAATGAGAGAAGGGCTTTGGGGAATGTCGTTATAGTACTGTTGGTGATATAAACCTTGCATTTCCTTAAGGACCCTAAACTATGGGAATTATGGTATATTCCTTGTTATGGGTAATGCAGGATTAATATCATCAACCGTATGTACAGCTATACAAAATATTCTGGCGCCTATGTCAAGCACCCGTTCTTCCCAAAGCCCAGTGTCTAGGGTCTGTTGGCTCCGGTCGCCTCTGCTTACATGATCCCTTGCTCTATTCTATTCTATTCCAGCCTATGCCAGTAGATTAGAATCGAATAGGTTATTTTATTCTAGTTTATCTTCAAAGCATTATAAACTATGCCGTTGCATTCGGTTCTGTTCTATTGTAGATTAGATGAAATGTGGCTAGATTGTTCTATATATTCTGAATTAACGAACATATATATATATATATTTATTTTTCTGGAATGTGCTATTCTCTATGTTCTTACTGGCTGCTGTGGTCGCCGGCCTCTTTGCCGATCTGGGTGCCGGCATGGTAGACGCCGGTGCCGACCAGGTAGAGGACATTGTTAAGGAAGTCCATCTCAAAGCCTGCGTAGGATGCACTAACCTAGAGAACCTAATACACCTTAATTCAGGACCCTATAATTTAAGGAATATTCCTTAACTAAGGGGTATTGGGTTCTCTGGGAAATTTTAATGCTTTTCGCGCGCTTGCGTTGTCTACCCACAGGGCTTTTTGGGTGTAGGGGGCCAAGGTTTGGGGCTTAGGGCTTCGGGAACGAGCCTTTAGGCATCTAGCCTCATGCTTCAGGTTTAAGTACTTTGCGGTTGTCTACACCCTAAAAGAGACAAATCAGAGGTCGTCGGCTCACAGCTAACGGCTTCACGAGGCAAGAGACAGACCAAAACATGCTTGAAACATGCCAGAAGCGTCGCCGCAAACCGGGTCTACACCCGGAACGAACCGAACCCTAGAGTTTGGGCGTTGACACTGCAGGTGTCTTGCGAAAGCCCAGAGGATAGTATTACTAGCAATTCGGGCCCCTACATTTGACATAAAATTTCCCTGCGAATTCTATCACGGCACCCTTGTGTACGCTCATGCTCTGTGCAGTTTCAAACTAATGGACTAAACAATCCTGTGATCTTACGATCTTTGAGGCATTGAGTTTTTTTGAGCTTTTTGAGTCTTCTGATACTGCGGGAATAAGGTGCAAGACCTAAGTGCAGCATTTCGGGGCTCAGAGCTTTGTTTAGCGGTGGGGATCAGGGCCCTAGTAGGATGAGTAGGGTTTATGGCTTTAGGGGGGTTTAAAGGTATGCAAGCTGCAGAGTCGAGGGTCAACGTCTCGGTTTCTCACTCACAGGGTTCCGGATTTGTTTAGGGCTACACCGTGGCTTTATCACAAAAGCACAGCAACAAGCTCATGACTATGGCAAGCCAAGATGCTGTTTCCCACGTCGTAAACATTGAGGATGACGTCCTGTTCTCCACTCACCTGCAGACAACAATGCTTTCTAAACCGATCAAAGCTGGTTCCAAACGCACTTCCATCTGAAACATCAAATGCCCGTCCTTGCCTGGAACCCTACAACCCTGCTATGACTCCCCAGAGAATCCAATACCCCTTAATTAAGGAATTTGCCTTAAATTGCAGGGGCCTTATAATGTTATGATTTATAATGTATATACCTTAAAAAATAAAATTAAGGAATTTGCCTTGTATTATAGGATTCTTAATATCATGACTTAAGGTATATTCCTTAATTCATGGGTATTGGGTTCGGTGGGTCACCACCAAAGCAGCAGGAGGAGGCTCCAGTTGTATGTAAGCCATGCAGGCAGAAGATTGGAACTCGCGGTTTAGGGCTTCAGGGTTTTAGGGTTTAGGGGTTTGGGGGTTTAGGGTTTTAGGGGTTAGGAGTTTAGGGTTTAGGGGTTTATGGGTTTAGGGTTTAAGGGTTTAGGGGTTTAGGGTTTAGGGCTTTAGGGGTTTAGGGGTTCGGGGGTTTGAGGTTTAGGGGTATTTAGGGTTTAGGGGTTTAGGGGTTTGGGGGTTTGTGCCGCTGCATTGCCTCTACGACTCTACGAGGCCTGTCCCATGCCGTCAATCTTGCATTTGGCCCCTACCAAACATCGACCTTAGGAAGATAAGATCCTTTACTCATAGTATACTTATGACACCCACCTATATATCCTTATATACCCTAAACTCTGAACCCTAAACCCTAAACCCTAATCCCGGATTCCCCTCACAAGCCTCCTGGCCCGAACAGCACGTGGAGCCCATTGCACTCGTGACGACTTCGGTCTAGCGAGTTGCTGCGGGAGTCTTGAGCGCTGCTAAAGCTGTTTGCGGGCGCAAGAGGCAGAAAGCGTGACTGTCGTCAACGCGTCATATGGGACTTTCCGAAAATTAGGGGTACCTTATTTTGGGGTCCTTATAATATGGATCCTACTATTTAGGGTACTATATTAGGGTCGTCTATTTGAAGAAAAACCCCATATGGCGCGTCGCTTTGATATGATGTTTGTATATGCGTGCATGTATGTATGCATGCATGCACATGCATGTGTGTGATGTTTGTTTGTATGGACGGACGGGTCGGTGTAGTGCGGATGTGTGCTCGCACTGCTACAACATGCTACAGCAGTGGGACATATCTTGCTATAGTACTGCAATATGAAGTTGCTAGGCCTGCTGCGAGGATGCTTTAGTGTTGCAGTACCTGCTTCTGGATGTGCAGTATATGTGGCTGCACGCAGACAGCCTGAACCAATAGTTAAGGCTCTTCATTATCCCAACCCTGAACCTTAAACCCTTAATTAAGGCCCCCTATATTATGGCCGCTCAGAGTCCTCACCGTGATTTGGCTCTTCACCGCATCTTGGGACACCCAAGATCCCCTACATTAAGGCTGTTCAGGCTTAGGGTTCAGGGTTTCGGGGGGGTCCCGGGTTGTTTGGGCTTGGTTTTGGGCGTCGGGTTTAAGGCTAAACTGCGCCTTTGAGGGTCCCGGAGGTTCTTGGGTTTACGATATTCGGGGGTCGGGATGTAAAATTTTCAAACGGCAAATACCCTGCACAAGCACGAGGCACCCACGACAACTATGCGGCCGGAACAACAGACATACCCAGAGAGCCCAATACCCGTTTAAAAAAGGAATACACCTTAAATCATAGTCGAAATGTTAAGGCCCCTATAATTTAAGGTATGTTCCTTATTTAAGGGGTAGTGGGCTCTCTGGGTAGAACCTGAACAGTACGACACTTCTTGTCGGGATAGCTCGAGACGGATTGCCAAATTCGAGAACACCCATCAGGCAACTTCCAAACCAAGCTTACTAAACCCTAAACCCTAAACCAAAAGGCGTCCAAGCAGATCGCAACCCTAAATCCTGAACCCTGAAGCTGCCGGTAAATCCTTTACCCTGTACCCGAACCTCTACAAGACCACATCTAGATTCATGATGCTCCAAGTGTCTTAGGGCTCTAAGTCTTCACCGCTACAATAAACTCTCACCCCTAGACCCTAAACCCTAAACTCTCAACCTAAACCCTAAACCCTAAACTCTCACCCTAAACCCTAAACCCTAAACCCCAAAAGCCCTGAGCCCCACCATCCTCAAGCCCTAAACTCTCCAGAAAAAGACCCTACCTAGAGAGTCTCCATTCTGCTTCCTTTCTTGGGGGTTACCTTCTAGGATCCTTGACAGTTTAGGGTTTAGGGTTAGACAAGAAAGGAACCTGGAAACTTCAGGTAATAGGGTTACTTAGAGGATCATGGGACTTAGTAAATAGGGTTATAAATAGGGTAACTGGATAGTTATACTTAATTATAACACCAATTAAGGTACCTATAACCTTACTTACTAAGTCCCATGATCCTCAAGTAGCGTTTAGGGTTTAGGGGTCCCAGGCCCCAAATGCTCAAACCCTGAAGCCATGAACCCTCAAGCACTAAGCGTGGTATCCCAGGCCCGGGGAAGAACGGCGACACTGCCCAACAGGTGACACTGCCGTCGTTTACTGATTTGGGGTTCAGGGGCTGAGGATTTGGAGTTAGAATGTTTGCATGGGGTTTAGGGGCTTAGGTTTTGGGGACTTAGGGCTAGAAGGCTTGGAGTTGGGGGAGGTTTAGGATTATCGATACGGGCCCCGAAATCGGGATTCTGGTTAAGGGACATAGGGGGGCTCACTTGGTTGTGTGCGCGTGTGTATGGTTTGAAGGAGCTAGAGCCGACGGAATTCGGAGGAAGTTACCTAAAGCACCTTCTCAGTTGAGCTCCCACCCTTTGGCTGCCAAGATAGGTACCAGGGAAGAATCCGGTGACTTACCCGGAGAATAACATGACCGCGTATCATGCTCCTAACCACGATACCAGACAACCCATCCCCCAATCCCTCCCCAAACCCTAAACCCTGCAACCCTAAACCAACATAAGCCTTCGAACATCTTCGAGTTGGGGGATGAAGAGGAGGATGCTGACGATGCGATGTAGAAGATCATCATTTTGACTCTGATGCTTCGGTTTAGGGTTTAGGGTTTAGACTGTGATGGTGGTAGTGATGATGATGATCATCATGAAGATGATGATGGTGATGGTGAAAGTGACTGTGATGGTGCGGATGACGGTGGTGATGGTGACGGTGACTGTGATGGTGCGGATGACGATGGTGATGAAGATGATGCTGATGATGATGATGGTGACATGGGAAGGCCTCAACCCTAGACCCTGAAACTCAGACGAAAGGATCCTCCTTTCGGGGTATGAGGGCCTCTAGAAGGGGAGTTCCAGACACCCTGAGCCGCCGGACCCTAAACCATAAAGCAATGAACCTCTCTGGGTCGCTATTACATGCGTCTTGATGATTCGAACAGGGGGCCTTGAAAGGGTTCCATTTACAGTGTTCCATAAGGATTGCAAGAATAAGGTTCTGTAATATTTGGGCCTTGATGGTTAGAGCAAGTTTTCGGGTATACTACACTGGAACTATGGTAAGGAACCCTAATGAAAAATCTCGGTACTTTTCAAGGCCTTTATGTTGCCTTAGCTTTCGTGGAGCTTAGAGATCAGGGTGTATGCCGAGTTGATGTAGGCTCCAGAGTCTTGGGTTGAGCATCTTTGTGGGCAAGCCATGGGGTTTAGAGTCTAGGGCTTAGGGTTTAGAGAGAGAGTCTGGGGTTTATAGGGTTGAGGGTTTAGGGTCTAGGGGGAATCTAGGGTGGAAGGTTGGCCAGGTGCCCAAACTTCAGGTCAAGTTCTCCAAAAATGCCTTCCCAGATGAACTTGTTTGCATGGTTTAGTTTAGGCTTTGGCGTTCCAATGGGGATCACTCCAAATCGGGCTCCCATCGCAGCATCTAGCGAAGTCAGAAACTCGAACATGGCAACAAAGGGAACCAGGCCTCTGAGAATGTTCCCAGAGAGCCCAATACCCCTTAATTAAGGAATATACCCGTAAATCATAAGATTAATTAAGGAATATACCCGTAAGTCATAAGATTAATTAAGGAATATACCTTAAATCATAAGATTAATTAAGGAATATACCTTAAATCATAAGATTAATTAAGGAATATACCTTAAATCATAAGATTAAGGACACTATAGTTTAAGGCCATATTCCTTAATTAAGGGGTATTGGGCTCTCTGGGTTCTGGTTCGGAGACGAGCATCCTCTGGCTGTGAAGGTAGGTATCAGGGGGACTTTTTCGGGGACTTAACGCACAAAGTTCATGGCGATGCCGCATGATCCCCAATCACAAATCAAACGGCGGTATTTTCGAAAACTCAAGTCTTGCAGTCTTGCCGTCTCTTCGGAAGCCCGCACGCTGAGCTCACACGAAGGCTGGCAGGGACTAACACTGGCTGCCCTTGGTCCAGGAGTGCTTGGGAAGGCCGTACATACACACGCCCACCCAAAGCGGCGGGAACAAGACTTCGCCCCTCCAAAGCCTTAATCAAGCCTGTTTAACCCGAAAACGCAAAGACCCCTAATCCCTCAAGCCTAAACCCGCAAAGACATTCAAGGAGCACGGCGTTCGCACTTATAGCCTGATTTAGGATGTTGACAGTCTTTCCCACAATGCTTCGTGGGCCCCCATTCATCCGCGCACTCGCCGCTCCAGCCGTTCCAGCCCCATCTAGGCTTTGGGGTTAAGAAATCAAGCTCCTAGCGGAGAGGCTGCAGGGCCTTTTCCTAGAGAGGAGCGGCAGTATTTAAGCAAGTGTTAAGGTTTGTGCATGAACAGAAACCGGAGACTAGTTGCAAAGCCAGGCGCCCTTTAGTCTTGCATGCGCAGCAATTGCCCCCCTGGTCGAAGAACTTGTCGAACTTGTCCATGTCCGCCTGGCAAGTCTTCAAAGATGGTGGCAAAAGAGACAGAAAGGGGTTTAGGGTTTAGAGTTTAGGGTGTAGGGCTGGGATGGGTATAAGATGGTATCAGCTGGACGAGCAGGACTGGACGAGCTACTTACACAGTCTACCTCAACCCAAAATCACCTACTTTCTGGACTTCTATATATTGAAACCATCACAAGGAAGCTTGGACATGGAGGTCTCGTAGGGTCCAGCCGCAATAGCTTTTTTGGGGGTTAAGTCTGTAGCGGAGGTTCTTTGGGTGCTCGCAGGGAAAGCGGGGACCGGGGACGACACCCTGTGCGGTGAGGGCGAATCCTTCCGCGACAACATCCCAAGAGTCTGACCAGCATCTGATCTTTTGGTTTAGAGTGTAGGGTCTGCAGGGCATTTAGGGTTTAGGGGTTAAGGGTTTAGGGGTTTTACGGGCGAGGGCTTAGGGCTTATAGCGGTGATCAATTGAAGGTCGAGGGTATGAGGTTTAGGCAAAATGATTTGAAAACAGAAGGGGCCCCAACTCTGACCCTGAAATATGAAATCCTTCCCGTAAACTCATCTGAGTTGGGAACACCGATGGCGCCAAACTCCCATGCAGAAAAAGCAATGTAGTAAAACCCAACTAAAACCCAACTAGAGCGACAGAGAGAGATGGGAGTGCATGTGTATATACGCATACGTATAAACATAGACTCACCTACACTATCCATGAATGTAAAATGAAACATAGATGTACGTATGTTTTATCTGTATATATGTGCATGTGTGTGTATATAGATACACACGGCAGTTACTGGATTAACACTATACACCTGCCTGTCGGTCTGTCTGTCTCTGTCTTGCTCTGTCTGTCTCTCTTTGTCTGTGTCTGCAGCTGTCTGTCTCTGTCCGTCTCCATGTCTGTCTCTCTCCCCATCTAACTATCTATCTATCTGTCTATCTCTGTACTTACACACCTGCCGACCTACCTACCCTACCTACCCGCCTACCCCACCTAGAATACCCTGTCTACGCTGCTTTACCTGTTTACCTGAACACCTCCCTACCTACCTGCCTAACTACCTACCTACCTGCTGACCTAGCTCGCTAGCTATCTACCGGTCTAAGTATTCATGCACCCATGCATATATCAGGTACACATGCACACATGCATACATGCCTCATTCATGCACACATTTCTGCAGGCATACGTTTGCATACTTACATACCTCTATACTCACCCACCCACCTACCCACCCAACCCCCACCCGCCCACCCACCCACCCACCCTCCCTTCCTCCCTCCCTCGCTGCCTGCCTGCAATCGAATTCTATCGGTACTTTGGTACTCTTACTCTTGTCTAGCCTGTGCTGCAGTTTGCATTTTGCGCTGACGTCAGGTTCTGCAAGGCTAAAGCACGCGTGAATGCTTCATGCGCGCCCCATGTCTGGCTGGAGGCTAGACATGCTACACTGGCGCACGAGATGGTCCTGCGCCGTGCTTCTTTCCAGAAAAAAGGCTCTTTCAGAACGGCGCTTGCTCTTGCTCTTGTCTGCTCCAATTTGTGATTGAATCGTAAGACTATGTAATGTACTACGGAGCGAAACAACTAAAAGACGTACTTACAACACAGAACAGAGTGCGCAAGAATGATTTTTTAAAACACATGTATCAACACACCTGCGTGCTGTGATTTGCTGTTGCTTCACGTCTCTTATCTTCTTCTCTTTGTGGACAAACTGCGCACTGTGCAATCTGAACTCATACAACACAATAAAAAACTGGTGCTGCTGAAGAAAATCCTGTCGGCAACTCCTAGCCTGGCAGAACGTGCCCAATCAATCATGGCAACTCTCATGGACAACATCATGGAGAAAGTCTCGGGGAAGGGAAGGAATGGCATCACGAATCTTTGGCTAGCTGTTCATGGTCAGGAAGCGAGATCGGAACGGACAGCGGGCGATGCGGTTCGTGAAAGCAAAACATGTTCAGCCAACACAATGCTTCTGCACTACCCATAAATAAGCAACCGTCATGAATCCACGGTCTTCTAGGCAAAGGAACTAAACATATATGTTGCCAGTGCAACACAAATGTTTGGTCTTTTGTCGAGAAATGCACGGGGCATCCCAATAACAAACGCACACAGACATGTCACACGTGCACAGCGCATCAGTTCACATCATCATCACCATCATCACCATCATTATCTTCATCATACATGCATACATACATAATTACATACATACATACATGCATGCATGCATACATACATACATACCCACGTACGTACATACATACATAAATACATACACACATACATACATACATACATACATACATACATACATACACACATACACACATACACACATACATACACACATACACATACATTGAAATTCACATTTACATCTTTATTACATATACAGACACACAAACTTCACATGTGGCGTGTTCGGCGCTCTTGCATCTGCGCTTCTCCACATGTTGCATCACGTTACCTTCCACGCACTGCGCTGGCCTGCAGCGAGACATTCTCGTGGAGCTGCTGCGCTGGTTCGGATCCCGTCCGGACTGATGCCACACACCCCAACACAGCCATGGCGATGAGAAGACGAGTTGACATCCTTGTTGACAACAAGCAGACTCGCAGGGAAGAGAAGGACACTTTGCACAAGTGCTGATTGGTCGCTTGAGCCGGAGGCACACCAAGAAAGCGAGTAACCGGAAGGCCTTGGTGAAATGTAGGGGCCTAAATAATTAGACTAGGGTTTGGGGGACCGAATTATGCTATACTTATAATGATGAACCACGAAAATAGTATTGGTAATTATTTCGGCCCCTATATTATACGAGGAAGCTCCACTCCAGGCCCGATAAAGGGACTGAAGTACTGGCGAATAGACGGTTTGTAGGGTTAGGGTTTAGGGTTTAGGGTTTAGGGTTTGGGGTTTAGGGTTTAGGGCTTTGGGTTTGGAGTTTGGGGTTTGGGGTGCGGAGGTTTAGGGAATCGAGAGAGACTGGGAAAGAATACTTGCAGCAACTTGCCGACAGGCTGCAGACTTGCTGCGATGAGGGATTCGGGTTGCATGTCTACGGTGTCTGTGGCAGAGCGCTTCCAGCTCAGAAGCTAAGCTGAAGGTCCGTTCTGCAAAGTGGGGCTCAGGTCTGCGATTACTTCCGGGATCAGTGGTTCTGCACTCGGACGACTACAAGCAATCTTACGGACCGAGGTTTCGGGATGAACAGGAGGATTCGGCCGAAGATTCTCTGAACCCGGTGTCATGATGGTGACGACGATGATGATGACGAAGATAGTGAAGTTAGCGATGAAGATCATGTCATGTTTTGATGTGAAACATGGCGATGTCACGAAATTGTGGAGCCGTCATGACAAGCACGGCAAGGAGCCACATCGCGGCGGTGACGATAATGCCGATGACATCGGAGATGATATGAGGGATGATGGTGATATGAGCGAAGATGCTCGTTGCTGTTCTTCCTCAAGCTGGCACTCAACCGCCCGCCGATGCAGCTTCATCAAACAATGAGGCCCAAATACCGCAAAGCGCAATGCTTCAAACAACTGAAGCCCTGAACCCTAAAGCCTGAACCCTACCCTAAACCCTAAACCCTAAAGCCTAACCCCTAAAGCCTAAACCCTAAAGCCTAAACCCTACCCTAAACCCTATAAACCCTAAAGCCTAAACCCTACCCTAAACCCTAAACCCTAAAGCCTAAACCCTACCCTAGACCCTAAACCCTAAAGCCTAAACCCTACCCTAAACCCTATAAACCCTAAAGCCTCAACCCTACCCTAAACCCTAA